TCTATGTCCTACAGGCTTACGAGCAAGTTATGTGGATGTAATGAATCCTGGTGGGGTCAAGGCACCAGTGCCAAGTAGTATGCCTCCACCAAATGTATTCCCTTCATCTGGTAGCCAGCCAAGCTCTCTTAATTACTTTGTCCCTGCTGCAGGTTTGACAATTTTATTTTTTTTGTGTTTTTCTTTCTTCCTGTGACAATTTGATCGGTTAAAATTTTGAAATCTCATGACATGAACTGTTCTTTTATTCTTGCAGTAGAGGGAATTGAAAATGCACCAACTGACTTCCTTACTCCCGCCCCAACTGGTTCTGCTGAATCTGCTCCTGAACAGCAACCTGTAAGTGGAATGAAATTTTATTCATATTTTCTTCTTATTGGTGTTTTTCTCAACATCCAGCCCATTCCTCTGGTTGTATAGATCTTGTAGTACCAGTAGCACTGTATTTCAAAGACTGTAGTGACCTTCCTGAAATAGTTCATTGGTATGGGAGCCTATTGTGCTATTGTTTTGGTGTAAGGTTCATTGGTTCGGTACAATTGCATGTATGGTGTCTTGTTGAATCTGTTCTACCTTTTCTGGGAAACTTCTCGTTTTATCTTAGTATAGTTTCAAAATACTTTTTCTTTGTAGTTGTACAACTCTAGTTGCGCTACATTAAGTACAGATCTGCATATAGTCGTCCCATTGTTACGTTGCTCTTCATGGCCTAGGGCGGCGCCGTTGCCGCTTATAGGTCCCAAAGATCAAAGTAATTCTGGGACAGCTATGCATCACATCACTGCCCCATGTTGATACAGAGATATTTTATTTTACTCAAAGTCAATGTCTACAAATGCATTTTAATAGTTTCTCCTTGCCAACCATTGGTTGGCACAATTCTTCCATTTTTTTTTTTTTTTTTTTTTTGTTGACATGCTTTAATTATTAAGTGTAGCTTTCCTGCAGGTTTCTAAAAAAAGAGTGAGCTGGAATCCAAAGGCTTCACGATAGAGATTTCTTCTCCTAGGTCTCTTAAAACTTTTGTAAGGATTTGAAATCTTCTCTTATTTTTGCACTGCTATTTGGATGCATGCCATGCCTTACAATTAGGATCACAGCCTGTTGGTTGTTTTTTTTTTTTTTTTGAGTTGTTGGTGAATTTACCTGTCAAGGGAGTAACACATTCCAATCTTAGCAAATTTTGTGTTTTCAGAGTTCTGAACCTTTACTTACTAAAATGTAATCATGATATGTAGTTGGTTGCTGTCATTTTTTGTGTGTCTTTGAGACGTGTATCTGGAGCTTGGCCGTGCTTTTTCTATTGTCAACTGATCCATTCCTGAGCTAGCAATGGAAATGGATTTCAACTGCATATTATAAAAATACATGGTTTATGTTTTGTGGTGTGTTTCAAAATGGGAAAGACTATCTTTTTAGAACAATTTAGGTGGACTTAATAGTTTAGCATGAGTTAGAACAATGCACTGTATATTTTTTTGCCTTAAAGTTATGCACTATATATATTTTTTTTTAATATGAATTAGGCAAGCTCTTAAATGTAAAGTAATTTAAAGAAATTTTTTTCTTCTTTGTTGCTTCTTGGAAAGTTTTTTGAAAGATGTGTCAATATATTTCTCTGTATTCACTCAGTGAAACTTTTGCACTTCAGTCATTTTTTGTAGCTTTGCATATGAGATAGAGTTTCAGCTTCTGCTGGTTTTTGCCTCATGCTTCTGTCACGCTTGTGTAGCTTTCTCGCTGGAGCTCTACAAGCTCTCTGTCTCGTGAAGTTCAGTCCTACACCAGCAGGCGACCCCCGAGCAGGAATCAGGTAATGCCCCACTTGCGTTGTCTAGCTAAGACCTACATTATTTTTTATCTATATTGTGTAATTGTCATTTCGTTACACCATGACAGCACAATTATCATCTTTTGTTTCTTTGAAAATGTAACAATATATGATTGATTATTATTACATTCCTTGTGAGGGGTCCACATGGTAGCCACACTTTCACTGCGAGAAGCCCACAGGTGGACTCACACATTTCAGTTCGAGTCCACTTTGTAAACCTCGCACGGAAAGTACTAAACAGAAGTTGCTTTTGCTTAAGTTAAAAAACAAGGTTGTGCGTATGGTATGTAATTGTGAGCATTCATGAAATGAAACAGAGCATTAGATAGCAATATTTTCAAATACCTGTGGATAAAAATATGATTGCTTGATAATGTTTTGCACCTGGTTTCTTGCTTCTGGTCTAATTAAGCATACTGTCTGAAAATTTCGTGAGATTTGTATTCAATTTTCTTTGCACCTGTATATACAGTACTTATTACACTCTCTACCTGCATGGTATCAAAAGATTTGGCCAGGGCTTTTTTGTTCTGTTTTTCTTATCTTTTTCCTGTGTTTACCCAAACTTCATACAATCCCAGTTTTAAAAATGGGTGATTCGATTGACAAAAGGCTTGGTGTGGCATGTAATGAAAACAAGATTGTTGTACGATTAATATTCTTGTATCGTCACTAAATTTGTGTGTGTTTGTGTTTACCAGGTACAAACTGGTCCTGCTGGTCCTCAGATGTTCAACCCCGCTCAGTTTTCCCAACCAACATTAACAAGTCATTCTGCACGGAAACGTTATGCTAACTAATTAATGTTTCTATGCTGTGAGCTACAGAGGGTAGTTTAAATGAAGGTAAAGTTTTAATGTTTGTAAAAGCGCAAGATAGGTTAACTCCTTTTTCAAGCATGTCATTTTACCCTTCTAATTGTGATACTTTAAAAACATGTTGTTGTGAGTTTTAGAGTTTGTATGTGAGTCTTTTTATGTTCATCTTATCACATTAGTTTGGGGGGAAAGTTTCTGTACAATTAAGAAATATAAATTTTGTTAAATAATATCTATGTGTACATAGATGCTGAAGAATGAATTTGTAAAAAAAAGTGTTGGACATATTTATTTGAAGAACGAAAGGTGTTATGTATTTTAGTTCTTTATATTTTGACCCAGTTCTCCATCAGAGGTAATGCTCAACTAGACCGAAGAATGATTGGTCTTGTACTATCTTGTTCATTGAAAGTTTGTGCTGCTGGACAGTACAAGTACAGCATGAAAGATCTTTACAGAAGGAGCTTTTTCTGGATGGTAAATTTGTGAAGCATCCCATATTGTTAGCCCACACTTTTGTTGTTGTAATGACCAAACTTTAGGGGTTGTCTGCTCCATGTACCGGTATTTGCCAATTGAGTTTGGCTGCCTCCTTGTGTACCGGGCTTGATGATCTGTAGAAGTTTGTCTTTGTTTAGACATCATTAATTGTTTGCGATGTTGTGGAGCTCACATTCCCTAATGGTAAGATAAACGCACGGTTACCAATGGTATGATAAAACCCAAGTAAGTAAACCCATGTATATAAAATGTTTGTAAATAATAACCTTTTCAAAGGAGTATTCTTCTTTTATTCTTTGGCAGAGTTGGCTTGATTCTTCATTTTCAACTGACTCCCTATTACATCCCCTAGCAGTTAAGTAGAATAATATTGTCTTTTTATCACTTGATAGTAAGAATCATTGTGATCATTTTATGTATTTTATTTTTCTGCAAATACTAGAGCACATGGTTTTCATCTGAAGATAAGTGTTTCTAGTTTTTTGTCATGTATTATGGATAAACTGTTTTCTAGATATGTTCATTGAAAAGATCTTTAATATCAATCATTAATTTCTTCTTTCACATAAACATGCAAGAACAATGTATTCTTTTCAATTGAATGTTGCCAAGTAGACGCATGATCTATTAGTGGATAATGCATTATAAAAATCATTGTTCTGTGTGGTATGTTTTAAAAATTTGCAATGTCAAGAAACTACTCTACATGTTTTACTATATTGAAATTTTATACTGTTGATTTTGAGGTGTTTTAATGAAGCTTGTGTTCTTTGTCAGTCTAGTAATAGTACCAGTTGCATTGTTTCAAGACTGACAACTGCATGGTTCTAGTTAACTCAGGGTGCCAAACTTAAGCTCTAACCCTTTATATCTGATTAGCTATCTGAGAAATCCAGACAAATCATATAAAATCAAACATTAACATTAATGTTTCCCTGTCTAAGACATCCTTGCATTCTAGCACTGTATTATGTTTTCTGATAGTTTTGATTCTTGGTTAACAAAAGGCATTTTTAAGATCAGCTTCTGCCTTTTGTACAAATAGGTAATTCTTTTGGGTCCAGTACAGAGTTAAAATGGCCATTAAGGAGAGAGGCTTTATTGTTGAATGAAATGAACAATTTGCCTCTGTTAACCATTTACAGTAAGTGTAGTCTTTTGGAAAATTTGAACATAGTCTTACAAATATTATGTTGCAATCATGGTACTGAATTTTCACCAAGATGGAAAAGCAAAAGTAACTGAAATCGATGTTTAAAATAAGCTCAAAGTTTGGGTGTGGTGCAGAGTGTATTGTTATATGGTTTAAAGTTACACATTTTATTGAAAAAGAAGTGAAATATAATTATGTGTTCCTTCACTGACTTTAGTATTAATCATGCCATGTGTTATCAACCCATCACTCAATAAAACAAGAAACTCACATGGAATTGCATCAGTGTATGCATTGTGGTTGTGGTGAATGTAAATGTTATGAATGAAAAATGAGCAATTTAGGTAGAATAATAAAACAGATAGAATATTGTTTTATCAAAGTCTTTATTGATAACAAAGATTGATTGTGCTTAGCAAATCTCTTTAACATATGAAGCAACAATTTGAGCAATTAGTGCAGGTTTATAAAAGTTTGAAAAAACTGTGTTTGACATTATTGACCACCCCAATGCGGGAATAGTACTAAAAGCAAAGGCAAAGAACAGACGTATTCAAGATCTATAATGGTTAACCACTAGACCAACTTATTACCGCTGCGCTGATTGTCAAGCAGTAACAAGAAAAAAAGGAAGCTCCCTAGTTTTTTTGTTTATTTAATTGTCTCTACAATCTTCAAGAACACATGAACCACAATTCTTATCAATTTTCACAATGCACCTATCTATTTTTATTAGTAATAGAGCGGTGACATTGACACGTAAAGGCACATAATTAGTCATCTTAGTCCTACCTGTATATCAGCAGCATGTTGTGCCATATTCTACAAAAAAATCATCTGAGCAATAGTTTTTGAACTATAATAAGAATTTGAACGAGAACTTTTTCTTTGGCATACTTCATCAGCTTCAAATTGGTTACTCATACTTTTACAAATGTCAAAATCTTGGAGGGTGAAATTCTTAGATGTAACTAACAACTATTCATTAGTATATGTGTTGCACTAGAAATTGTTATAATGGCAGAAGGATGGAGGCAAAAAATTGAGCCATTGAAATGAGCATGTCACTAAGTGCTAAGCACTTGTAGCATCTTAATTTTCATGCACTCTTCAAAAAAAATTAGTATTTATTACAAACAGTCCATGATTCTCAAACAATATTAGTAATATTAATTGCTATGTGTAGGAATATTGTTAACACAGCCGGATTCATTTTTATGAAGGCATATGGGACTAAGGTTCAAATCCCAGAAGATACATTTAAAAATGTACATAAATGTGCATAAAGATTTCCCTTGCCAAACATATGCCCTCATCAGTCAAGTCCAAGCGGACCAGTTACAAATCACCTCATCCCACTCCACAACGAGAACGACCCATCCCGCCCCGCAGGAAAGGGAACTGATCACTTATGAACGTCTTGGATACGAACTACGAACAGGCAACGTAACCGCCTCTAGTTCAGGCGTTGGGTTATACTCGATATCGGCAAGGTAAGTTAAAGATGCCGCTGCAATGAACGTCCCCCGAGGTGACAGAGAGAAAGGGGGGGGGGGAGGAATCACCATGCTGGCCGTAACAGGCGCTTCCGGGTTTTCCTACCCACGCCTCGCGAAACGTTCATGAAGGTTCACCTTGAGACCTTACAGTTACCGGACTTCCATAACAGTCATTTTTTATATAGAGAGAAAGGAGGAAGCTATCTCAAGAGAAAAGCAAAACGAAAACACTGGCGTCGTCCTCTGGAAGAAATACGGTCGGTTCGATGAACCAGCATCGCCGCCACGCCCCTGCCTTACCGCAAGCGCCGAAGGAAGCCGAGGAGACCTCCGCCGCCCGCCGTGCGGGTCCCGGACCGAGGTCGGGGCACGACCGGCTCCAGCACCATGCGATTGCCGTACACACGGACGCGCTCCACGGTGGGCAGCCTCAGCCTCCGGGCGGCCAAGAGCTTGGCGACCGCCTCGTCGTCAGCGTCCTCATCCCCGGGGCAGAGGCCGTCCTCTCCGTCCTCGTCCACCTCGGGGAGGATCTCGTCTGCCTGGCGCAGCAGGGCCTCCGTCTCCTCGCGCACCTTGGAGCGCAGCCTCGTCGCCCCCGAGCCCTTGCACCTCCCCGGGGGTGGCGCCGCCCCCATGTGAGGCGTGGGGGGCGGCGACAGCAAGGCGCGCGGGTCCAGGAGCTGCTGGAGAAGAGGGAAAACGGGGAAATGAGATCCGCTGCGAGATCCGCGCGCCGGAAACAGCCGACGAACAAGAAAACTTTACAAAGAGGCGACAAACAAAAAAATATCCGTTAGATTCCTCTCGACGACCCGCCCTGCTCCCCCCTACCACCGCCTTCTTTCATTTCATTTTCCCTCTGAGAGAAGTTGATGGCTCCAAGCCTCGACACCTTTCCTTTGTGTTCGGCCCGGCCCGACCACCTCAGATTACTGGATGCGGTGTCAAATGCCGAATCGCGTTTCAGGACGGTCGTGCCGTCGTCGTCATCCCTGCAGGCCGGACTAATGGCAGCCCGGCCCCACCCCACCCCCGCCGGGGTCCGATGGTCCCAAACGGCGCGACCCATTAGCCCCCGGGGGCAGCGCGGAGTTGGAGCTATAGGCCCGGCGCGAGCAGGAGAAGAGGCGGCAGAGCAGGCAGAGGCAGTTTGAATGGTGGGGCCCCGGGAGAGGGGG